CCCATAATTGATGTGACCGTATCCATCAATTTAATCGTTCTCCAAAGGGGCGTTTCAGGACGGATTTGGCGCGGCGCCTATTCGTTCTCCAACATTCTTGAACTGGACGAGCGACAACAATTAGTGAAAACGTGCTGGCACTGCACCAAACCCATCCCCTCCTCCCACATACACTCGCCCCACCTCTGACAGCGAATAATGCTGTATATAGCTTTCCAAGCTCTCAATGGCCGTTCGATTCCTACTGAGGGTCTGTTTCAGAATGCTCTGGTCAAATTCATTTACTCCTGCCAAGATGAAGAGACAGGCGGTTTTGCAGATCGACCGGGCGATTGTGTAGGTTTTGCAGATTCATTGATAATGGTCCTCGAAAAACTCACCACTTGTCAAAATGTCACATTCTTTCAATTAAAAAATTTTTCAGCCGGATCCATTCCACACGGTATTTGGTCTCGCAGGTCTGTGCCACTATTGCGAACACCGTCTGCGTCAGTGGATGCGGTATTCTGCATGCCCAAATACACACTAAAAGACAAATCACTTTGCTAGTCCTTTTCTATGGCCTTTTTCACATTGCTAGTTTTTATGTTGCATTCTTCTTTATCTGTTCTGATGTGATCTTGTCTTTACTGGTCCAGCTAAGTTATTATAAAATCATTTTCGAGTTTGGAGTTCCAATGGAACCGCAGAGTTTCATTATTTGGGTGTACTTCGCAATCATACCATGACGTCCAGAGTGGGCAGTGGCATGAGAGATTGCATGAGCCGAGCGTTGGCATGAGAGACGCAGCGCTGCTGTCATGTTGGGAGGGTTGGGTCCTTGAGCGAATGAGGTATATGCCCCAACTTGCAAAGCCTATTCGCCGCGACGGAGTTGTAAGCTCCACACCCGTCGGGACGTTATCTACGAAGACCACGCCTCAGCTTAGAAATGAAGGCGCATGTCCGGAGTGACGTGATGGCTCATCTCCACTGTGGCTTGTACAGTCTTGTTAGCCGTGAACGTTCGAGGGCTGGCTTTAGCGTAGCGCCAACTCGTTCTCCTCCAGTTGTGGTCGCATGCTAGCTTCCACAACTGGTGGAGAACAGGCTGGCGCCACTTCAAACTCAGCCCCCTAAAACGCCCCGTGAAGAAGGCCATATGCCACAAGCACCATGACACTTGCGGCGCCGTGTCATCACAACTCAGATCTCCGAACTAGCTCTGGTGCAATCGACATATGATAACTACAAATCAAAACTCATAGTAGGGTCAGAACTCCCTTTTCATACAAATGTGTCAAAAAGAACGCTCCAATCTTATGACCAGTATTAGCTTCATTGCAAATAATGCGAAGGACAAAAGGCGTTGTACCTTTCTTCAGGTGCTGGATCCCTAGCAAGCCAGTCGAGCCATGCATTCCTTCGCGGTGGTCTGGTTATTGTGGTTGGTGCGAATCAAGAGCTCCATGCTGCGGCGGCCCTGCTTCACAAGTGGAAACACAGGCAGGATACCGTACCCCGTCAAGAATTTGCGTGCAATCAAACGTGTCGGCCTCGGCTCGAATTGTGAACGCACACAATTCGGTGTACCGTGTACCGTCGAAGAGGGAGGGAAGGGAAGGGAACCTCGTAACGAGGCCAGGAAGCTTTGTGGTGAGGCAGGAAGCGAGAGCGCAATAATTCCGCTCTCCATCTGCAACTATGTGCTGCCTAAGCGAGTTTTGAGTTGTACCAGGGCACTCGGCGCTCCTACGCGCTTAGTTCGATATACCATATCTCGCCTGTTTTTCTAAGCGCGGCATTCGCACCAGCAAGTGGGTAGGTAGCAAGAGAAGCGTAATGCCGCGCCAGTGGGCGTGGCAGGCGACGTCGCGCTCGCTAGTTATTGATTTTAGGTGGTACTGGTCCAGAATAGACAGTGTATCACCAGAAATAGATATAATTGTCTACCATGCCCTTGTCTGCATGAATTCCGATGCTCCAACCGATAGGATTGTGCAGATTAAGGAAACGATGCGCCCATTGCCGCGCGCGACAAAGCGGCGAATTACGATTCTCTTGCCCGTCTCCCCCAGGAGTAATGCTTTTTTTCGCTGTGCACGGTGCCCTATAGTAAATTCGAGTAGTGAGGGGTTTAGGAAATATCCCGCAAATTGATAATTACTGCACAAATCTCTCGGTCACGCCAAGGCGCACAAACTGGAAGGACGCTCGTGAGAATCATTTGCTGGTGATTATTAATTTTGAATGCTTGTTAAAATACCAGGCGCTTTCGAAAACGCCGGGGCCAAAACTCCCATGCATTTCAATACTTCGCAGCTGACGAGTGATTCACCCAGGGCATGGGCAAGTGCGCACATTAGTACAAAGGCCCCAGGGGCGCCTGTTCATGGACAACGCTTTTCCCGGTGTAATTCACCCACTGGGACATTGATTACACCCATCGAACTCGCAGATGTGTGGTAATTTGATCGATTGGTCCTCATGGAAGGTTTGATCTACTCCTGGCGTCAAACCTACCCTTGTATTGATCCGATTATCGCTCTTTATCGCTCTTGTTCCTAACGAGATATATTGCCTCTCACACATTCCGCAACTGTTGTTGTCATTTTGTGTCTGGCTGCTTGCAGCCGCTATCGATTGGCTTTTGTCGCTAGTTGTTAATTTTATCGTTTTATCAGTGTGATGTTACCCAATAGTACTTGTAAGTATTAGAGGGACGGGAGTCGTTAATAATTAATAAGAACCCATCTGAGTTCAGACAGTCCTGGTCAAAACTTGGTGTCATGAATATAATTTTTTTGCACTCATGATGTGGGCTTGACCGGAAAATCAGTTGAGGACATTTCAAGGTCTTCCTGACACTGGCACTGTTAAAACCATGCAGCTTTTGCGTCTGATACAGATCGAGTTCTGCGGACAACTTATACGAAATTAAATCAATCGCGTCAAGTTTCTGTTTTTCCCTGCGCTCTCACATCTGTATCACAATCTGTGATCACTGCGCGCTTACACTTTCAACTTTATACACATTATAAGTGATCCATGCAAACCGTTTTCCCTTGCAAAAGCTCATCTAGTGGCTTGCGACATGTTTTCGCACCTTTTGATGTCTTGGCAGCCGCAGTATTCTATTTCTCTGCGCTCTGGCCTTTCGTGCCAGGACCCCGTCTGCCGACCCTTTGATCGTGTCAAGTTTCTGTTTTTCTCCGCTCTCCCACGTCCACATCACACTCTATGACTACTTCGCGCGTTTACACATGCCAAGTTTTTGCTCATAACAAGTGGTCCATTTATCCCAGAGTCCCACTGCCGCCTAAACCTACACCCGGAAAAACGGCCGGACGAGTTTTACGGTCCGCAAGTCGTCCACTTCGGACCACGCGTCCCTTTAACTTCATTTGAATTAGGATACTTCAATAAGAGCGTTTTTTTGCAAGATTATCGCTTTTGTGCGTAATCACAGTTAATATTTTCGAGATCTGCTTCTGCTTAGATTAGGAAACATGAAACCTGAGGTGCAACCGGAAACTTGAACACTTCAAGTGCATCTTTTGTTTTAGGGGTTATATCCCGTGGGGTGCCACCATTTTTAAAAGTTCTGCCACTCAGCGTTGGATTTCGACGCAGGAAGATATCTACATCCTATCTTCGGTATTCTGTGCACAAAACCGCTGTTAGAAGGGCTGTTTGTTTTAGATGTCTGGCGCGCGAAAATTTCCGTTTGACATGGTTTGGAGACACTTTTGACTCGCTCAGTTTTAGAGAGTTCTCGAGGGGAAGAACTGTTGAGCTTAGGAGAAC